TGTGTGTTTTATTCCTCCCTAGTCCACCTGCAAAAATATGGCTTCGGTGGCCTGATCTGATGTCATAAACTATTGTGTCATAAACGAAGAAAAACAGTGTTCTTACCTCTCTTGGTATGCGGTCCGATGACCCAGGCTGTAAACTGGAAAGTATTTTTTCTGTCGGTGGCATTGGCCAGCCTAGCAAACTCCACGGGCATCTGTATCAACGGCCTTGGAATTGCTTTTGATGTGATTAGGCTACTAATTAGCTATCTCAATTCTTCCCTCCCTCCTGATGTTTTCTTTTGATTCACTTTGACTCCGAGGAGTCTGTATTCCGTGTATGTTTGTTTTTGTGTTTTGTCTAAAATCCCTAATGATAGCTTAGACTGTCCTCTTTTGGTTGAGAGTTTCCCTGTGTTGACATGCATTTTTCTGTTGAATGCATGCATCAGGATTTTTCTCCTAAGAATAGCTGTTATTTTGCAAGGTGTAAACTATGTATTGTCAGGCTGCATATATAGGTGTATACTCATTTAAACTGTGCTAAGGATTTTCCAGTCTGAATGAGAACGTGCGTAGTTACTTCAAAACCATCAAAACCATAGTAAATGTTTAGTACTCGAATATTTATTCACCAGATAGTAACCTCACAATTAAATTATTATGTAAAGCCAGTTAAATAACAGCAGAAGTTATTGTATTAAGGCCCACTTTGCAAGGAAACCAATGACAAGGAAGCAGTGAAACACGCTAATAGATTATATGCTATAGCAATATATTGCCTTTTTATTGCTTTTCCACAGGCAGCAGATTCATGTATAGTTATTACTAGCTACATTATCTGCTAGTTTTCTATCAAAAAAGATTCAGTCTATTGAATCATTAATCCAATATTTATCATTCTTATTGAAAATCCACTAGTGTTAGCACTGTATAAAATATTGACTTAAATCTACTGGTTTTGCTAAAGATTAAAAACATATTAACCTAAAAAGCACACTGTTTCTTAGGACATTTGAAACTATTCATTGTGGATGTTTGAAATGACAATATTTCTATGTTGTGTGAGGAATTATTTTTTTAAAAAATCTTCAACATGTAGTAAGTGACCAGTGCCATCCTGATTTGAAGATGTTGAATGTTCATCCAACTCACATTTGAAATTTTGATGTGTATTGCATTAGTTACTGAATATCAAGAATAAAATTTTTGCTCATACATAGAGTGTAAAATGGGATCTTTTGTAGCAGCACACGGCCTGTTTAGAATGATATAACAGGCGCTGAATGTTCACATATCAAACAAAATGCCATCTTTCTGTAGAAAAGAGGTGTCAAAAAGTTTCTTTGTACCTTTAACGCATGTGATTATGTAGTACAAAATGCAGAGTTTGTAAAATTTCTTGAATATACAGGCAAAAAATGAATAATTCAAAACAACTCATAAGTTCTACATTCTATTGTATCTTTTATAACGCAGGCAGAAGATAGCATTGTGTTCCCAGTAGAGCTGAATTTGCACAAGTTACACCTCTGAAAATGCCAGATGGTCTATGGTCTACTTTTGAGAGCTGTCACATATGTAAAGATTTGAAAAAAGAAAGACAGCTGAATGAGAGCAGTGGATCATTAAAGAGAGAGTGAGAGTCCCTGGGTATCACTGTGTTTTAAGAAGCATTGTGTCGTTCCCCATATTACACCTTTTTTTTTTTTTAAGATATACACAACCTTTAAAAAATAAGGTAAAAATATTTCTGTTTTAAACTGAGTGGTTGTGGCTTAATCTTGGAACTGTCAATTGCTTTTGTTCTTTATGCTAGAATGCGGTCATATGGTTCCTAATTGGTTTCAAGTGTGTTTTAACCATAAGATTCAAGTCTCCCTGGTGCAAAATTATCAATAAAGTTAAAATAAATTTAAATTGAGATAACTAATCCATTTGGGGTTTTATTTCATTTTGATTTGACCTGCGTATCACATGTGAATACTGTAAAGCCAGTCAGCTAAAAAGTTGTATGTTAATGCTAAAAGACTGGAGTAAGAGTACTTTGGGAACAGGATTATTTAATAAAAAAATTTTAAAAAACCCCAAAACACCAAAAACCTCCCCAAACTCTTAGTAAAAATAATAATAAAAGCAAAAGCATATAACTGTTTAGATTTCTCAAGACTTTCCATTCACCCACAGTTTGACAGAAACACACCTAATTTTGAAGATTGAATTTTGGATAATTTGTCAAGTTTTTATATTGTAGCAAAGCACCAAAAATACACAAACAATTATAAGCTGCCACCACCAATTTAGCTGGCTTGGAAAAGGTCATAACTGTCAATTTTAGAACCTTACATGTCCAGACATACAGAATTTTTAGTATAGTCTATTGCATTTATTTATTGAGGAAAGTTAACTGCCTCCCCAGTAATTCTAGGTTATTGGTGCAACTGTATCACTCCACAGTTGGGAATCATAGGGAGCGCTGTGTGAGGAAACATTGTTACATGGAATGAGAAAAACATTGTAATAGTACAATTTACATTTGAGTGGGATAATGAAAATAAAGCTATGGGGAGCTGTGGGTATGAGCACTGAACTTTTGAGACTAAAATTTTGACTCTTGATGTTGCTAAAGTTTATTTTTGACTGTGGTTAGGTCTACATTGACTATTTTTAAATTGGACGGAATAGCTTTTGATTTTTAACAAAATTAGTTTTGCACATACGTAGAAAGATGGTGTACACAAAGGGTTCCTGGTAGTATACTTCTAATGAATCCTATTCAGGTAGGAGAAAACTCCCTAAAAATTTCTTTTGGGGCCTTTACAAAAGTCTGGAAATGTTAACAGAATATATACCACAAATTGAATTCCAGAGGGAAGAAAGTGCCTTGCTTACGGTTCTGTTCATAGGTTTTGCAAACACTACTGCAAAATTGAAAGGAGAAGGAGTTTCAATATCGCCAATGAAAAACTTTTTGGGCAACAGTCGTTCAGGTGTCAAGATAGCGTTGTGCTCCTGCTCTGTTGGCTTGGAGGTTTGTGAGCAGTTGGTGCTGGTAATGGAAGGGAATGGTCTTTGTCTTCCCTGCAGCATCTTTGGGGAGGCTAAAGCACCAATGTTTCCCTCAGCCCTCCCTTTCTTTCCTGCAACACAAAATTATCACTTTTGGAAAGCGGGTTCAGTCAGGGTTACTCTGACCTAGACAGATGTGGGCAGTCTAGGGTATCTTCTTAAAGTCTTAGTTGCTGTGACTAAAAAAATCAAATGGTAAGAAAAAATGAACCAGTTCATATTTAAACTATTAAGAAAAGTATCTCTTTTTGCCTGTGAACGTGACCAGGACTTAAAGTTTAAGATTTGTCTGAAGTTTAATCTGGACAAGTTTATGATAGTTGGAGGAAGCAATCTGAGAATGCTATCAGTGTCCTTGATAAAGAGGAAGCATTGAGGGTTTGTTAGGCAAATTCAGAACTGAGAGTCTTTTTAGAGAACATGTTGGTCTGTGTGTCCCAGTAGTGTTTGTCCGAAAGTTTGGTAACTTGTACCTGAAGTGATCAGTGGAGATGTTTCTTTTAGAGGAAGCTAACTATAATTATCTATACGTATTGTTATCTTAGACACAGTGTAATCTACGTACGAAGCTGTACTGTGAAATCATCTGAAAATGGATGTGAATCATCTGAAAAGAGAATGAACTGCAGCACTGTTTTTCTTTACCACTGGCACTGTCTAATCTCTCTTCAGTTGAGTGTTCAGTAGAATCTGGGCTTTTCCCCTGATGTTAGATTTATAAATAGTTGAAGATTGGGCTGTCTGAAAACCTCTTTATGTCCAAGCGTGATACAGTAGTGTTTTGATTAAGAGAGGTGATTGGGCTGATGCTTTTTGATTATGAAATCTTGTTGTGTTACTATGTGTATAGTTTAATTAGTTTTCCAAGAAGTCTCCTTTTTTCCCTAAGTAAGAATCTTTAATTGGAAACCACTTGTTTTATTACAAAGCTTTACATTAAAAAAAAACAAAACCCTGCATCTTTTCTTTTGTTTAGATACAGATTTTAAATACATAGACAATGTATTTTCCATGTTATTAAAAACCCGCTCCTTTATGATACAGTAGCTCAGCAAGGAATGGTCAAGTTTCAGGCCCTTTCATTACAATGGGTATATAACATGTACTCTTGGAGTCTTAACCAGGGCACAGCAGATTCCTGCCTTGACAGGTTTTGTATTTTTTTCCTTTGACCGTTTCAGTTTGTTGCCATTAAAGACTGAACTGGCCCATTACATCCATTTTAAAAATTGTGGTTCTGAATTAAGGAATATGGAGGAGGGGGGGACACTCTGGCTTGCCACAGCTGTGCGGTGTTTGAATGCGTGTTCCTTCTGGTTACTGGATCACCTCCTCCGCAAAACCAGATTTCGATTGATTTTGTTCTTCCCAGCAATTCACGATCTTTAGGAATTTAAGCTCACAGTGTTGTTAGTTACCTGGGTGCTCCTGTTCTTCTCTAATATACTGGTCTGTGGTGGCTGAGTGTCGGGGGCCCCCTACCATGTCACTCAGGTTATTTTCTGAAGACTGGCAGGTTGGCTTTACTTCTGTTACTGCAGTCTGTATCTTCCTTCCCATACCTTTTTCTCCCACTCTTCATTTGGCTCCCTTAACCCAAGTTTATCTCCGTTTTGCTACTTCTTCTCCCATTCTCGATTTTTTCCTTCTTCAAATTGCTTCCCGTACTCTTTCTCTCTGGGTAATTCACAAAGCCTTGCAAACCTTCCATGCAGTGCCGAATGGGGAATCTAGGCCTCGTGCAGACATGAGGTGCTTTCTGAATACCTAATGATTGGTTTTAACCTAGAGATATTTTTTGCTTTCTTGTTTTGATGGGGGAATGTTAACTTTTCAGTCTATTCTTAGATCAATAAGAGCAATGAAAGTTGCATTCCCAGTCTAGCCTAAAGTGTTCAGTTATCAATTTACAATTTAAATTAACCCTTTCTTTCTTTCATTTTAAGCACAACCTCAACGTTTGCCGCAGCCGAATACTTCAGCATTGGAAAGGGGTGAGGAAGAAAGTGGCAAAATCCAAAACGGCCACGTGGGTCTGAGTAATGGAAGTGGAATTCACAATGGGGTCAAACACGCGCCTGCAGACAACAGAAAACTTTCGGCTCCTGTTTCAGAAAAAATGCACAGAAAAATTCAGTCCACCTTGTCTGTCAACAGCAACAGCAGCAAGAAGAGTAAAATAAGCTCAGCGTTTTCTCAAAAGCCAGGTACTTCACCTGAAGGTAAGCAGAAATTCTTATTAAAAAAACCCAAACTGAATAAAGACTAGCCAAACCCCGTTCTCACTAATAATTACACAATCAACTGAAAATAATTAAAGAGCATGACTCATGCTCCAGAAGCAAATAGAAATCATTATGATAAAACACAAGTTACTTCCCCAAAGGAAAATATTAAGTATTTGAAGGAAATTGAAGCAATGGGAGATTTCTTGCTTTCAAACATTTGGCCAACATAGCCTGATAATATTTTAGTCTCTCTAGTTAGTATCCTGAACTGATAGAAACTCCTGTCAACATTGTCACATATGCACCAGGAAAAAAAAAAAAAGTTAAAGGAGTAGTTCAAAGCATAGTAAATACTTAAATCCAGTAATGGCAGGCTCCACGAGGGCAGAGTTTGCTTTTGAAAACGTTCTGTTAGCAAATACTCTGACTAGCCATGAGGTCTGAGCACTAGATAATAAAATTTGGACCTGTGCTTCAATGTTTAACGTGCCTTATGCTATATTTGGGCTGTAAATAATTTGCATGAAAAAGCTTCGTACTCCCTATGCACAGCTTAAATAAGCAAAAGTAAATAATTTCCCTTATGTTTTAGCTGTGTGTGTATGTTTTCACTGCTTGCAATTACTCTAATGGTCCCAGAGTTCCTGAGCCTCTCCTCAATCCACTGCTTTCCCATTAGCACTAATATACTCGATGGGCTTTGTTCCTGCCCATTATGAGAAGGGTGCAGAGGCTCTATAAATTTTATTGGTTTGAGGCAGGCATAGATGTGGCTGGTTAAAAAAAACTCTGGGGGGTGGGTACAGACACAGATTCTTAGAGAAATGGGAGACGGCACGGTTCAGTGAAATGGGGAGGATTCTCAGCCTAGATGAAAGGAAGAGGGATCAGAAGGACTGCACGTAGTGGCCTGAATGAAGCCTACTGATGTCCGTGGAGTGACTTCTCTTGACTTCAACTACTTCAGTCAAACCTACTCAGTGAATTTGTGTAGTAATATCAAGAACAGCTTCACTCGGACTGTGCCATGGGCTGGTCCTCCTTGCTGTGTTTTATTTTCGTATTTATCTTCAAGAACCTACTGTTATTTTTCTGTTGCACTTTCAGTCCTCTAACATTTCTTTGCAAAATCACAACTTCATACTTCCTATATTCCCCTTACCTCTTTCTTTTATGTGAAATCCAGTTCACCCTCCAGCCTGATATTTTTCTTATACATTGTTCCTTCATGCAGTATCAAAAAACTGTAAGTCAGGAGACGTAGATCTGTTCACAGGACTGGCACAAAGTACAGGCCTCTGAATTCAAAGAAATTGAACCTCTGAAAAAAAAAAAATCAGAGTTCTAAAGAGATGGGGCCTGCCCTGTTCATGCCCCTATACAATTATTTACAGCAAACAATTCCTTTCTTCTTCTAAAATTATATTGGAATAAATACAGCCAGTGGGTTTTTTTTGTTTGTTTTTAATAACCTTGGCAATGATTATGTGAAATTACTGAATAATAGAGGAGAAAATTAATAAGATACCTTCAGATTTAGCTCTAAATTCTAACGTCTGATTTTAATATCCAACACATGATTGTGTTAGTTGCCTGAAACTGCCGATATTCGATTTTGTATATACAGTCAGAAATGTTGATATTTTTAAAGGCATATCTGATTAGAATATAGGTAATTACACTGTGTTGTCACTCTGTCTATTTTACATACTTTAAAAGTACAGAAATACAGGGTAATCCTTACTGTCATATGTAGTTTCCTGAGTCATGTAATAGCTAAAATAATTGAATATATTCAACGTTATGCATCTAACGTTATAATGTTTGCATTTTGAATGTGGGAACTTGGACATATGCTCTGAATAGCTCGACCTGCACTGCTAATGTCTGCTGCTCCAAGTTTTCTGTTAACCAGTCTGAGTGAAGCACAAGTTTTATTGTGCAATGATTAAAGTATATCTAGGGTATTGTGATAATGGCTATAAGGGAACATTTGCTTTAAAAAATAATTTTCTGGTTTTTAATATTATTTTGCTTTACAGTTCTCTGGTAGACATATTTTATATTTGTGTCTACACATCTGCATGCACACATGTACAGGCCTTCTGCTAGTTTTTTCAGTAACTTACCCACTGGGGCTGCATAGGGGAACTACAGGCTATAAGTAGTATTTTTATCAAGTTGTTACCTTGCAGGAAGTCTCAATATGTGCTTAATTTGTTCTATCATCCCTCAGGTTTTTGATAAGATGCACAGAGACTCTGGCAATGGTCAGTTGAAATATCTAAAATAACACAAAGAAGAGATCACTATTTAAGGAAACAATTATTTATCCGTAACTTAAAAATAATTGTGTTTATTAATTTAAGAAATGTTAACCCCTTATGGCTACTTCCAGAAGGCTACACAGTAAAAACTTGATGTAATTAGCCACGTTATTTGTTCAAATGAGTTTAACTGCATTTAAACCAGCAATATATATACTTGATGAATTCGTCTAACTATACAAAGCCAGAAGAGTACACTAGTAAGCCCTGTGACTGAGGATTGCATAGATCCTCTTTCAAAATGGTGTACACAAACTAATTTGAACCTAACTTCTGCAGCTTCTTTGTATTATGAATCATCCTTTAGTGGGCAAAGAGGCATTTTTGTGAGCAGTTGTCTCTTCTGATCCAATGATATTTCTGTAGAAACTATTGAAAAGGTTTACAGGAAGATGGAAAAAATAGGAAACTATTGGAAGTTATTTGCAGCGTTGCTTAACTACTTGGCTTTGCTTTAACTTGTACCATGTTAACCTCAGAAGGTTACTGCTGAAGAGCTGCTGGGTTTGAGTTCACTTGAAGGTGCGCGTTTGTGTCTATGCACATCTATACAGTGTAATAACGTAACTTTTATGCAGTTTCTTATGTAATCTTATGCAGAAAGAAACAAATTATATTAATTTTTGTGCTGTGAGTATTGAATAATCAATCACCCGAATTAACTCAGGTACTTCGATTTACTATAGTGTCCAGGTAATTTTAGTAGAAAGAAATACAGGTAAACATGCATGCTTTCAGATATTCCAGCTCACTTTAATTTTGCTATTCCGTATGTACAACCTTGGATTTTATAATCTAATTAATAGCGTGGGGTTTTTTTTAACCTGAAAAAGCATGCCATGTATTTTTACTTCATCTGCCTTGTCTTCTACCATGAGTGCTCTGCTTTATTGCCAGGAGAATAACTGGTTTTAAGTGAAGCAAAGTGGCCAGAGAAAAGAAATAGATTATGTCCTCAGAAGGAAGAAAAGTGAAAATTCTGGTCATCAAGCTGAGTTTAGACTATAGAAAAGAGAAAATATTTTTCACTTTTTTTTATTCCCTCCCAAAAGCTGCATTCTTCTTGTTTCTTCTTAAAAGGCAAGATGTGAGTATTTCTGGAGCACCACACCTATTTGTAACATAAAATAAGTCCAGGTCTGGTAGTTATTTTGCTCTAGAACATCTTACCTATTGACAGAACAGAACACCTGGTAATGCTTGAAGCAGGGTAGAATCAAGAAACATCCAGGATTGCCACCCGTCCTGCGCAGGAGCGTATTTGGGCTCATGCTTATTTAAATGGTTAGCAAATGCAGCATGCTGCTTCATATACTGCAGACTTCACTATATATACCAGAAAGCTAAATGAAGTCCAGTATTGTTTTACCCAGGATAGCACATCGTCCCATGAAGGTCAGTACTGCTCCTGCTGGTCTCCAAAGTACTAGACAGCTCTAACACAAGCTATAAAGCCCCCCAGTCCCCCACCCCGCCAAAATCACCCCTACCATAGTTCACAGCTCTTTTATTAATTGTTCCAGCTGAAAACTCCACTTGCGCTGAAGATCACACCTTGTGAGCTTCCGGAATTGAAATTGCATTGGAAGTGCTTCAAATGTAACAGACATTTTGGTAGCAGTAGTATAAAAGCTTTAAAACCTGCCTTTTCAAATGAGCCTGTAGTGTATGGAGTCGTGTCAGCATTCCAGAATATGCTGTTTAGAAACACTTTCACATCCAGTGAGGCTTAGGAGGGTGTGAATGCACTCACCAGCTCTGCTCTTCTTCTGCATCTATTATTAATCCATAGTGTCCCTGAAGAAATCTTACTCAGCTCCGTAACTTACACTACAAAAAACAAAGGAATTATGAAATAGTAGGAGTGTCTCTCTTAAAAAGCAGTTTTTAAACACTGTTTCAGTTCTAAAGATTTTTCAAAGGGACTGGATAGGTTTCAGTGCGTATTGGGAATAAAGGACTTTTTTTATTCAAAGAAATTTTAATAATATTTTAAATTTTTGATGTCAAGAGGTGTCACAGTTCTTCCAAAACTCTGGTTGGTAGACCATTAGCAAAGAGAATTGTCATTCTCTCGCACCTGTTAAGTATAGTGCAGAGAAACACCTTGGAAACCTGAAAAAGCAATTGTACATGAGTAAAAAGGTGGCAGTCTAGCTGCTGTGTTTGGAAGCAGTGGTACCTGTCCAAAGCAACTTAAAGAGGGGAGGAGGTCTAAAGCAGACAGCAATGAGGCAGCTGAACAGAAATCTAGACATTAGGAAATGAAGAAAAATGGGTAACTGAAAAAGTACATATGTGTATCAGAGTAGTGGAAGGTAAGTAATACTGACATATACAGAGTTGAAGGAGGAAAGGGAAGAAGAAACTGGCAGTGGGAGGGATGGAAGAGGAATTTAATTAAGGGGGCGGAGGGGGCAAAATTAACTAGGCACTAATTATTTCCTGAAAAGCAAACCAAGTTTTCCTACCAAAACCTTATGAAGCTTGATGTTTTGCTTTTTTTTTTAATCAAAGCAGTCATTTATAAAAAGTTTATGATGGAGAGAGGAAATACAGCTTTTAATTCAGTTTTGAAATGGAGCTCTTGCTTCTGGTCAAGTTGCTGTGGCCTCGCAAGTTACTATATTTGTCAGGGTAGTTCCCACAACTCCAGTAACTTCTGAT